CAACATAGGCTGGTTGTGAGCCTGGTTACAGTAACGTGCAGAACTAGCAGCAGCCGCAGGCAGTGCAATAGAAATAAATAAAACGTTACCTTATAAGTGTGGGGGATACTTCTTTGCACGCTAATTTTTTAATTTACTTAATGTTTTTTCTGAGTGACACTTAGGTATTTCCATCCTTCTATTTAAAAAAGTGCTTTCAGTGCAGGTACCCATGAATTGGATTGATCTCTGCTCTTAGTTTCCAGCACACTACTATATTAAAAAAAAAAAATTAAAAAAATTTTAAAATGTCATGTCTTTAAATCTGAACTTGCTGCTTGGCCATCAAGCTTGGAAAGGCCCTCAAAGATTATTTTATCCTGCTGTGCCTAAGTAACCAGAGGAAAATACCTCCCATGTCATTACTGTGGTTTACCTTGAATAACCTTTGCATGTGGTGGGTTGATGATTGTCAGTTGGTCAGCATATCTCTTTCTGGTCAATGTGTTCTGTGGTGCACTACACTCAAAGCCCTCCCACCCCCCTGCTACACCGTACAGAAGACATCCACGTCAGCAGAGTGTACTGGACTTAGCTTCTCTCTCTCATTTTTAGTTTGGAACTGATGGAGATGAGAAGCTTCTGGGATCAGAGTGTCCCCAGACTGCTTTTTTTTTTTGGCCTTCTTTTAAACGCCGCAGAGCTTGGGAGTCTCCTGCTGCTCATGTTGCCTCTCTGTTCAACTCGGTTGCTGCATCAGAAAAGGAAGAAAAACTTTGATCTTGACATGCCCTTCTTCTCTGTTCCCCTTCACAACTTCTGCAGGAAAAAAGACCCGTCATCAGGTGCATCTATGGTGTTGTCAGTCCTTTGAGGGAAGAATGGATGTTTTAGTCAGATGTCTTCCCAAAAACTTTAATGCTTAGCTGAAGTCCAAGTTGAACTGTCAGAGGACAGACTGGTTTTATCAGTGTCCCGATGCTGCTTTCAGGGTAACCTGCACACACACTTCAAAGGGCCCTCTCCCAAAATGGGGTGGATTTAGGCCATCACTTATTGTGGCTTCTTGAACTGAGGGATTGGCGGGCACCTCTGGTAATGACCATAGATGCAGCAATCGGTGACCAGGCAGCAGCTGCGCTCTCACAACTCTGCTGTAGCCACATCTATAACAGCTCTGGGGGAAGACCGTCCGTGGCCCTAACTGTGTCACTTGCCCTTCACCATCCATGGGTTTAAAGATACCTGTCCCTTGGATCTTCTCTCTCTGGCTGCTTAAATCTGTAGGGTGTACTTTCCTTGTTAGTTGTGAGCAAATTTTCACTGGCCAAGAGGACCTCTGGTTTAAATGAATGCGGTTCCAGTCTCGTGTAATCTTACTCTTTTCCCAGTTCCCCTCACCAGCTTCAGAAGTGAAATTATTATGTATGTAGCTTAAAAGCCCTGCCAGTAACTTAAAATGAGGAGGAACCATATTAACGTTGGATAGCTCAGTGTTAATATATAATTTCAAAACATCAAATTGAAAAACTCTGTTATGATTACCTCACATGGTGCCATAGGCTCTGGGGACCATGGAGCATGTCCTCTATGGTTTGCAGCATACAAGGAAGAGTTTGATGGTTCTGCAGGAGCTCCGTTAAAGGCTCTTCGGTGCCTTACCTGACTTTTCACAAGTGCAGTGCAAGTGTGGCTTTCATATCGCCCACTCCTTCAGGCGAGAGGGCTCTTACCATTAAACCTCAGGGAGAGCCTGCGCGACTCTTTGCTTCTCTGGGGGAAGCAGGTAGGTCAGCTCTTCCAGGGTGCATCGGGTGGGTTAGCTGCGGGAGAAAATGGGTTTTGATACAGTTGGCGTTGTTCTAGGACAGTCACTAAAATGGCCTTTTTTTTCAGTAAGCTGAAATCAATAGGCAAAAAAAACCCCAAAAGGAAGTAGAACTTTCAAAACTGTGTTTCCTACATGGTCCTTCAGCCATCAACCATACCAAATGGTACTGTAATTTAGGAGAACAGGGTAATACCCTGTTAGTGTTACCTTGGTATTTAATATGTGTTCTGTGTGCCACCAGACAGGCCAAAGCACATGTAGAGCTGACCCTGGGGTGTTGATATATACTTAGTAAATGTAGCTGACCAAACTTGTATTTCTTCCATGTTAAAAAGAGTAGGAGACAAATACCACTTCAAAATGCACAAGTATCATCTTTTAAGTGAATTTAATGTAGTACAATCTCATTTGCAATTACAAATACTAAGGCTGCCTTTTTCGCCTTACTCCAAATGCCTGAAAATCTCATTAATGTTAATGTACGGGGAAGAAGTGCTTAGCCTATTGATGTAGGAATGAAATCAGGAGCAAAGCAGAGCTCTACAAAGATTCATCTGCAGATTACAGTCTGAAGCAACCATTAGATTATAAAATCTGACCTTCTATCTAATACAGGCTGTAGAATTTCATCCACTTAATTCTGTTTTTATCCCATGAACAGCTCCAGGAAAGCAAGTACAGTGCATTAACATATTGTAATGTAGCAATATATTTGGGCATTTCTTTTTTTTTTTACCCTAAAACCAGAGGCAAACAGCAGTACTGTGCTATATGATACTGATGAAAATCTGCAGCAGAGATTTCAGCATTTTGTCTGTCTGCAGAGGAGAATTTGTATGTCTGTGTGTTTGCGTAGGATTTTGTTTAGTTCTTTGAAAATTATTCACTGGTAACTCTAACCGGTATACAGCTGACCATTAGTTCTGTTTCTCTCTGAGGACAGCATAAGTTGAAATAAGGATTTAATTTTATTTTTTTTTAACAGAAAAAGTAATTTTCTTCAAAAATCTGTGTGGTCTTTGACAACTGCTTTCTAACATCTTATTTTGGAAACTCCCTGCCAGTCAGTTTTCTTAGGAAACATGAAGCACTTTCACATCTGGCTTCTCATCTCGTTGACTATAACACAAATCTGCCCTTGAAGTGCACCTGGGAGGTATTCAGGGGGATACCACACACGCACAAAAGATGAGCCAAGCTGTCTAAAGGAGCTGCACTGGGCTATTGCATGTTTTAACCATTAGCCAACATTTTACTGAATAAAGGGGCTAAAGAGGTGAGATGAGGAAGGTATTAAGGAATTCAGAGGAGAAGTGCTGGGTGGCACTGAACAAAATACAAGGTCCCAAGCTTGGCAGAAGAATACTGTCCTGAAGGAAAAATTCTCCTGCCCAAGTTTGAGGTGCACCAGCCCCTTGGTGTTGCCCATCCCACGAGATCATTCCTCTGCAACCCCCCGCAGCTCAGAGGGAAGGAGAGTCTCTGCTGTTCACATGTTGCAAAAACTTTTGCTGCCACTTGGGTGGGTGAAACCTGGGCTCTGAGGGCTTGTCTGTAACAATGCAATTTCTGTTTCCTTTCCCTCCAAAGTTCAGAAATCCTACAACTGGCTTGGTCCCGTCTTGGGTTTTGGTTTGACTTTTGCCTCTAAAGTGCATTTGGATCCTGTTCTTTGAGGGTTTTTTAATATGAGTTATGGCTAACTAGTACTGAAAGCAGAGATTTGACCCATGACTGCAGGATCTGTAGGTTCAGTATGAACCCCCAAGCTGGGGCAAAACCATTTGCCGAGGGAGTTATACTGATGAGGAAGAAGACCCCTATAACCAAAGGCACCTCCATAGCAGATATATACTACATTGCCTCAACTGTTTCATTGCAGTGACCTGTGATTTATGTTAACCTGACTAGAAGGTACCAGATAAACCCTTTTGAAAAACTGAGCGTACAAGAATGAATCTCAGACCTCCTCATGTATCAAATAGGAAGGTCAATACTTGCCTTAATACTTGGCTTTGAGGCTAAACTAATTATGGAGCATAAGACTCTGAAATCCACAGGTAAGTGGTGTTAAGTAAATGTAAATAACATTATCAAAACCTTCCCCCTGTTGCTTTGATGCAATTTATTCAGAATATGTAAAAAGGCATTTGTAGCAGTGAGGCTGGGGCTGCACAGCAAAACAGCATGCCATGCAGAGACACCTCAGGTGGCTCTGAATAACCAAACACAGGAGCCCTGCGTTGACACGGTCCTTTGCTTGGGCTAATATTCCCCGTTGCCCAGGCGAGCTCATTACCTACCTTAGCAGAAGCTCTTGCTGTTGTCGCTGGACACAGTCTGGGCAGGAGGTGGCTGGTGGCGAGACAGGGGCCATCTCTGCGCAACTGCCATGTGGGTCCCCCCAAGACAGATTACAATCTCTCCAAAGCATCCAGTAGCAGTAATAGGAGAAAGTTAGGGCACTATTAAAAAAATAGTGAAGGGCTATGGATGAACGTAGTGCTGTGTTAGAAGGCCACGCAATCTTTCCTTCTCTGTCAATATGGCCTTAGTAGAGAGGCAAATGAATATTCTCCCCGCTCCTCAAGAAATCACGTCTGAGTGAATGTTCCCCTTGGGGAGTAGCAGGAATCTCCAAGAGCTTCTTTTCTTCCGCCAAAGTCATAACCAAGAAACAAGCCACAATTATTAAATTCTCTAGCATAAAAGGCATCAGCAACAAGAGCGCATACTATTTCCATTTTGACAAATTTTCCAACTCTGGTGTCTTCCTACTCCATCTCAGCAGCAAAAGGTCAGACAGGGTCCAGCACTGCTGTAGCTGTGGGATGGACTGCAGAGTGGAGGGGAGATCTGTTTTCCAGGACTAAGAAAAGCAGTGACCACATCTCAGGATGGGGGTGCTGTAATACACTTGCCACCAAACTGGGCCAGTGCTCATGCTCCTTTGTATTAGCTTCAGAGCAAAGCCCTGGGCACTTTGTGAACAGCATTTAGGCAGCACGTATCAAGTTTGGAGACAAAAAGAGTTTATTTTCTAGCATAGGAACAGTTTTAATCAGCCATATACTGAACTGTTCTATACAGGCAGTAATCTACTTTTCTTTGAATTGTATAATAAGCAAAAAGGCAGTAAGAGAGAGTTTCCCAGCCTCTTGACTTACTGGTGCCTGTGCTTTCTTTGCAGTTGTCCAACACAGCAATCCTTCATCAAATTAGACGAGACCAGGTGACAGACACATGCCGAGCAAACAGTGTATCTAGCAGGAAGCGCCGCGTGCTGACGCCCAATGATCTCAAACACCTGGTTGTGGATGAAGATCATGAAATGATCTATTGTTATGTTCCCAAAGTGGCCTGCACAAACTGGAAGAGAGTCATGATGGTTTTGACGGGAAGAGGCAAGTACAGCGATCCAATGGAAATCCCAGCCAATGAAGCCCATGTGTCATCGAACCTGAAGACCCTCAACCAGTACAGTATCCCAGAGATCAATCACCGCTTGAAAAACTACATGAAGTTCCTCTTCGTTCGTGAGCCTTTTGAGAGACTGGTGTCAGCCTACAGGAACAAGTTCACCCAGAAGTACAACACTTCCTTCCACAAGCGATACGGCACCAAAATCGTGAGGCGCCAGAGGAAAAACGCGACCCAGGAAGCTCTGCGTAAAGGCGATGATGTGAAATTTGAAGAGTTTGTGGCGTACCTCATCGACCCGCACACCCAAAGAGAAGAGCCCTTCAACGAGCACTGGCAGACTGTGTACTCCCTCTGCCACCCTTGCCACATCCACTACGACCTCATAGGAAAATACGAAACACTCGAAGAGGATTCCAATTATGTTCTCCAACTGGCAGGAGTAGGCAACTACCTGAAGTTCCCCACCTATGCAAAGTCTACGAGAACTACTGATGAAATGACCACAGAGTTCTTCCAGAACATCAGCTCCGAGCACCAAACGCAGCTGTATGAAGTCTACAAACTTGATTTTTTAATGTTCAATTACTCAGTGCCAAGCTACCTGAAATTGGAATGAGGGATGGGTTGGGGGGAGAGAGGGGAGAGAAAGCCTGTTTTATTTAAGATTTTTATTTGTCATAATAAATATGGAGAATGGGTTATTTTGTAAATTAATATTTTCTTTTTTTGAATGATGCTGCGAGCAGCACAGTCAAAATTATTTAAATCAACTGTAAGAAAGGACAGCTCTCTTTGCAGGGTAACAGAATTGTGATGATCTAGCTGTAGAAATGAATAATACTGCTACACTGTTTAAAAAAATGTTAATTGTGTTCTGGTGAATTTCATTGATCTTGCATTCCTCCAATTCTAATTAATGTTATTTATACTTATTTAAAACATGGTCTCTTAGGTGTCACTTCAGCAGCAGAGATAAGGTAACATTTGGACAAAAGGAGTCTGGTTTTGTGCTTTCCTGAGTTGAGCTTGTCTCTGGGTAGTAATATTCTTCCATTAGCCATTGATGCCGGTAAATACGGGAATGGTTCTCGATACCACACGCTTTGAGAAGAGTGGTGGAAATAATTTCTTCAGAGAGTGATGTTGCAGTCAAGCATACTAAAAAAAAAAAATCTCTCTAGCCCCGAAAAGAAAAACAGATTTTTATAGGTTCCTGATATCTAAAACCCACGACTGAAAGAAGTGTGAATGTATTTCTTGGGAAGAGAAACCTTGAACTTTCTCTAAGTCTGCACTTAATGAGTTTATCAAGAATAAGACCTGTCCCATTACCTCTTAATTTGAAACCTACCAGCCCAAACAAATGCAGGTTTGCCGATGGTCCATCAGAAAAAATCAGCATTTTGAAAGTGACTGTAGAGATTTTTGAATCCCCAAAGCAATTGGCATTGACTTAATTCATAGCCAGGATGAGGCTGGGGGGAGCTCCGTCCTCTGCAAGTCATGCCTCCCTAACTGATCTTACGGTGGACAACCAGAATTGTCTCAAAAGACACCACTTATGATACATTGCTATAAAGGACGTGGGCATGTCGTTTGAAAAGTCAGAAAGTCATCTTCATGTTGCTCTCTAAGCATGGGAGGCAATAAAAAAGGTCTCATCTTCCTACATGCTGGTTTCATGGCTTTTTCCTAGGGGGAAGAGGGAGTCTTCTTTTTTCAGTTGATGCCTAAATACTGTTGACAGGGATGTTTCTAAGTTCCAGTGGGTTAGTATTTCATCTGAATCAGCTCTAGTGTGAGACCATGACCTTTTTACTTAAGTTGAATAGCTCGGTAGTGGTTGTTTTGTGTGTAACAGCTTGGTGGGATGGCAGGATGTACCAGGCGTAGCTTACCGAGCAATTGTTTTGGGCAAGCAAGTAGTAATCTATTCATGGCAAATAAATGATGTTAAATGGGATTTCAGTGTGACTCTATTAGCAAGCTGGTGTGCAGAAGTACAGACTTCTCCAAATGTTTGCTTTAATTTGATGCAGGTGAGGTGTATGGCCACGCGGGCGGCAGGTGCCTGCTGGGAATGGTCTGTAGCCACCCCGAGGTCTCCCATCCTGGGGCGGCCGCGCCGGCAGCCGGCTGATGGGCAAGAGGAGGCAGCGGCTTAAAGTGGGAACCTAAAATCTATTTTAAAGATGATTGACGGTTAAAATGGGGTTTTAACTTGCCTGCCTGTCAATCTTATGATCAACCCAAACCCTTCCAAAAATTAGTGAAGATTTAAATAAACTCAGCTGAAGGCAGAGATGTTTTAACAGTATCAGAACCAGATCCTGAAAATGTTGTATTGTACAGTAGCTGATAATATCCACTGAATTACATTAGTCTCCAGGACACATATGTGGTTAAAGAAGAAAAATAGTTTCCATTTCATCTTCTTTTATGAAAATAAGTCGCTGAATAAATCTCAGTGAAGAACAAATTAACATAACAAACAGCAGCTGAAGTCCTTTCACAATTGGATTTGGTCTTAGCCAGGATTCCAGTCATTATTTTTTTTTTTATCATACTCTACAAATAAATCTCTCATCCATTCTGGAACAGCCACAGTTTTCATAACCCAGGTCCTATTTATAATCTGGAGCACTCGCCCTGTGGCTAGCGAAGAGCTGGCTGGCTGCGCCTGACAGCTCTGAATTCCTGAGCGGTTGCGGATCGCTGGCTGCTGGTTTATTTGAAAGCAGTTTTGTCTCATTTAGAGTATGCGGAGCTGTTGCAAGTGCCTATAACAGTGTGCCCTGGCTTTCTTCTGTTCGTAGTTCAATGGTTATATGTTTGTTAAAAGAAAAATCTCTCTGAGAGTAGATTCCCCCTCTCCCCCCTAATATTTCCTGCAAGCTATTTGTGTGCTTGTTTGGTCTTGTATCCGACAGCGCTCATATTTTGGTCCAATTTTCTCTTCAGTTAGCTGTTAATCCCTCCAACAGAATGTGATTTGAATTTTTTCATTTAAGAAAAAAGTTGCTTCAGAAGGTAAATATTCTAAAAATGGGCTGTAGTTCCCCCTTTCTTTTCGTACTTTTCTCTGGCATCACCACATTTTTATCTGTTCTGAAATACTCTCTTTAGTTTCACTGCTTTGGAGACACAAAAACCCTATTTGACAGCTATGACAGAAAAGCTTTAGGTGAAAAACATGTTCAGATCTGAGGGGTGGGCACTGCTCAAGCCGGGATTTTTAGCAGCAGCTTTGGGTTTGATTACCCCAATTGTGCCTCCTTGCAGAGGGCTGCCCTACGGGCAGATGCTCAGTACTGAGATGGCTTTTATGTGGACTTAATTAGGTACCTAAAAGTCACTTGTTTTTTAAAAACCTTGATCCCAATCTACTACAAACTGTCCATTTAGTGTGTTACATCTATTTTGGAGTGCTGTGAATGGGCTGTAGATCCATGTTTAAAATTAACAGCTACCTGCTGGACATGATCGTGTCCTGCGCGGTGAGCCCGAAGCCCTCACCAGGTCAGAGGAGGACCAGAAATGTTAAGGAATAGCCTTTTTTTTTGGTCTACTGGGTGTGTTTTGACTGAGCCAAAAAAGTATGTCTTTCCACTGCAGCCACACAGGAGGATGTTCAGGGTCATTCCTCCTTACCTCAGTGCCTGGGCAGCCAAGGAACTGGGTTGGTTTTACCCCATCCTCACTGGGTTTCCCAGCCGGAGAAGAAGAGGGCCTGGTCTGCTCCCGAGCTCTGCCTCCCTCCCAGGGTCATTTCTGCTGTGGCCGCAGCTGGTCCTGGGAGACAGAAAGGCAAAACTGCAGCCACGGCAAAATGCAGAGTACAGATGTGCCCCTGGGGCCACCCGGGGAGCTGCTGTTTTAGATGTGTGTTAGTTGTGGTCGAGCATGGCTGAGCGCAGAGAGGACCCAGCAGGGACGGTTCTGCTCCCCACCTCTGTCCCCAGCCCCCTCAAAGCTGCTGGGCTTGAGGAGCAGTGATCCCCACCTCTGAGCAGCGGGTGCCTCCTCATCATTTGGCAGGACCAGCACTAAGCCCAGCAGCACCTGCAGCTTCTTACCCGGCACGGTACCCACAGCCGGGGGTTCGTTCCCCCCAGATGGCCCCCAGCTCCTTAACCTGGAGCTCAGGCTGGATTGGGCCCATCTGAACATGGTGGTGACTCCTGGGCGGTGGAAGGTACCTCCAAACCTGACTTGGTCCATGCTTCAGCCTCCTCATAAGCCATGTCCATTATCACAGAAACGTGCAAACTGCCTGAGCCACGCACTGTGTAAGACAAGTGAAATAAATAATCCACAAGCAGAAGTGCTTTTAGAAGTAATTTGACCCCAGATGTTTTAGGGTTTCACTGTAGTCTGCTGCACTTTTCAGGTACAAAAAGGGACTGTCCTTACTATTACTCTTGTTGCAGAGAGTGTTATTTTCTTACATGCATGCACAATACAATGTGTACGAATAATTTAACATCGATGTGGGGTTGGATTTTTTTTTTTTTTTAAACCTATTTGTATGCAGTAGAAGGCTTGTTGTAGAAAAGTATCTCCTCATACCTAAATATACTGTTAATAAAGAAAAAAAGCTAAATTATACATTGCCAACACAAGTGTGAACTGCTCATGAATCTTTCCTTAAAAAAGCCATTCAAGCCTGATTATTTTTCTAAGTAACTTCAATTAAATTGAAGAAAGAAAGTTCCTCTCTGTGTGCTTTATTTCTAGGTCATGCTTTCAGGGTGGATTTTTCAGGGTGGGATTTTTGTTTGCATAGCTTTGCTTTTTCACAAGGGTTATTGTGGCAGGACAAGCAGAAGACTCAAAATTATCTACTGCTATGGAGCAGGAAAGCTGAAGTCGTCTTAACATCCCCCTTGCTCCCTTCCTTCTAAAGTTTCCAGCCAGCAAGGATGAGAGCTGTCAAATTAAGACATCATCTCACCTCAAGCAAGGGTGTTTTAGAGTCCATCAGATGACATAAACTCCAGCTATCTGATGAGCTTTAGGCCACATGCTTGCCCACCTTCATGTGAATTTGCTAACAATAGCTTTGAGTTAAACATTTCCAGCAGTCCCCAAACCTGTGTGCTCTCATCCGTGGTTTTCACTGAGATCACATCTAACCCCAAAGCAGAAACTTCTACCTGGGCTTTGAAGACAAACTTGGTGAGGAAATCAGCATCATAAGTTACACTTAGGAAAAGCATACATGTAGGCAATAACTGCTCACTGTCTGTTGATGTGACTGTGTTGTTGGAAGGGACCGTGGAGGTCAGCTGGGCCAACCTACGGTCACGAAGGGTCACCAAGACGATGTTGACCATGATTTTTACTAGCCAAGGCTTCAATACCTCTGGGGGTGGAGGGCTCAGAGCCTTGCTGGGCGACCTGTTCCAGTGCCATACTACCCACCCGGCAGAGACTTTTTTTCCCTAGTGGCCACTTTGAGACTCCCACCCTTTGCGTCCATCACTGCTGGAAGAAGAGTTTGGATTCGCTTTCTTTGTGAGTCTGCTTCAAATAATTGTAGACTGTTATCAGAGTCCTAGTTAGCCACACCATCACCAGACTAAATAAGGCCAAATCCCTCAACATCTCCTTGTAGGTGATACGCTTTAGGTCACTGAACATCTTGGTATTGCATCACTGTAACCTCTCCAGCATCTTAGCATCCCTCTTGAATTGGGTATCCCCAACAGTGGATGCCCTATTCTGGTGCAGCACTGCCAGTGGCAAACAGACCATTTGATCTGCCAACCCCACTCCTCACAAGGCAAACATTATTTACAATGAGAGCAGAGACAAACAGAAAATAGGAAATCTGCTGGGTAGGTGTCATAGCACATGGTGGGACACTGGCTATCTTTAGAGCCCAAGCCCGTTCCCACCTCAAATGCCCCAGCACCCTGCACTCCCTCATTAATAGGCAGAAGTGCAGCGTAGCTTCCCAAAATCACAGCCTGGGTGTGCAGTATTAAGACAACAACCTTCACATTTCAAAACATCGGTGATTTGTTTCCTCTACAATCTCGATCAGAGAGGAGATAATCAAGAAGGTCTCGAGAAGGACTCGATCTAAGTGAGCGATTAGCCTGGCTTCGGCCACGGTGCTGATGGCTCTGCCTCCCTCGGCGGCTTGGCAGAGCACGGATTACACAGGCTTCAACATGAAGCCATCCTGTCCTGTCAG